AGAGTTAATGATATGGTAGGATTATCGGTTTCTTCTCATAAGTTTTATGGTTCTTCTTTTTTAATTTACGAACAATATAACATAATATACATAAATATAATATAACAGATAAAAAGAATATAAGAGGTATTAGTGAAAACATGGATTTAAGGTTTACCATTATGGGTTACCAATTGAAAGAGATACTAAATTCAGTGGTTAAAGAAGGAATGAAATATGGATTATATAAGTATTATAATAAAGGTTCTAATAACTATAATCCACGATGTTATTTTTATTTCGTTGGTCCTGTTATTAAGCGTAAATGGCGCGAAGTTCAGTAGCAAAGAAGGTATTTAAATTCTAAAAGCAAACTTTTTTTCTGCCAAGATTAAGACTAAAGTATTATGAAATAGAAGTCCACAAATGTATTTTACGAGTTAAGTATATTTTTCTGACAATTTCAGCAGCTTTCCACTAAGAAAAATACAAATGAAACTTTCTAACAGCAGCTTATAAATCTCTAATTCTATTTCCTTAAGAACTAGCACACACCCAATCCGTTTCCCACATCTTTCCGATATCCCTTAATCCCTTAACAAACTCTATCATCCATTAATGAAGCAGTTGCGATTCGTTTGATGTGTCAAAGAAGAGACTACAATTTCGTATCCTGTACACAGTTCGGCGGGAAGGGAACGAAGGGAAGGCAGAAGGGCCCACGAAAGCGCTAACCCGATTAGCACGCGCGATATTCCGCATCCTCCGCCAGCCAGGAGAAGCTGCTTCGAGGCGCTGATGATTATCTCAAATATTAATCGCAAATATTGTTTAATTAATGTAACGAGCCGGGGGGTGAAGCTCCAGACGGCGCGCGCTAGACAGAGAAAGAGAGAGGACGAGAGAGACGAGGCCGTCGCGGATGCAGCGAGTTTCGTGGCGAAACGAGAGGGCTGATTCGTTCGAGAGGGACCGCAACGAAGGAGGTAAACAGAGAAATACGATGGCGGATAAACATGTACAAGTAGGCAGAGAGAAGTTCGAAGAAAAAGAGGAAATTGAGGAGATCTAAGTGGAACTAAGGGATCGTCGGGAGCGGTGGGTAAGTAAATAATTTCTAGGGGAGGATGATGGAAAAAGGATATTAAAGAGGAAATGCAAGCGTAATGACGGGGATAAATAGTAAAGCTTGGATGTTGGGATATGTAAAGCTGTTTAACACTGGAACTTCGTTAACACTAAAATTACCAGATGGGTCAAAATGACCCATTCCTGATTTCCTCCTTTTGCAATTATTAAAAAGATAACAGATGTCTCACAGAGAAGTTATTAAATAAATTGATTTAGCAATACGCAAAGTGAATTGTGAATCAGTTAGTCTCACTAGATGCACTTTTGGAGTTTCTATAAAGAAATTTCAAAAACTAAATTTAACTGCCCGATAGCTTTAATGTTAAATTGAAATAGACGATTTGAGTGGTTTATATTCTCTTATGTAAATTGGAAGAGTGTAGTTACTGGCGTTTCCATTGACTTATGTTTTAGAATTAGTGAATTGAGTTTTATTGATTTTAGAAGAGGAAAGGTCATTTTTAGTCATCTAGTAATATCCAAGAGTGTAACTGTTGAAACTTTAATTGACCGACATTTCAGTTTGCGTGGCGTTGAAACAATTTCTTTAATAATGTCTCTGTGAAAGACATCTGTTATCTTTTTAATAATTGCAAAAAGAAGAAATCAGGAATGGGTCGCTTTGACCCGTCTGGTAATTTCAGTGTTAAAACTTAATTGAACGATTCATTTTACTTTCAAACGAAGTTATTTGATACAATAATAATATTATCCAATGCTTTTACCAGTAGTCTGTCTAGGCTACACGTGAACCGTTAATATTGAAGCAGAGAAGTGAGCTATCTAAATAATCCATACCATCCGAAAAGAAAACTGACGAGAAACGGCGCTGATAGTATCTAGGCCGTGACGAGGAAACGGAAGCGGAAGTGGCGGGGTTTGAAAGACGCGGAGAACAGGAATGAAAGCAGATTTTCGTCGATGGAAGAGGCTGTTGGTAGGAGATCGGGGCGGGGATGGCGCGATGGGGGTGGTAAAGGGTTAAAGGAAGCGGAAGACGACGGTAGAGGCGTAGGCAGGAAAGCTTGAACTGCGGTAAGCGCGATAATTAGCGGCAATTAGCCGCGTAGCCTAGCGTGTGCCTTGCTTACGTGCACTTGCTCCCCACCCCCTCACATGCACGCACTTAATTTCTTCGTCTCTATGCGTTTAACCGTGATATCAAGACAGCTTCTACGCTTTCAGTCGCGCCAACTTCTCCGCGTAACTACTCTGATGCATCAGCGTTGGGGTTTTCAGCGCAGAGCATGTACGCTACGAGATAAAAAGGTAGCAACGTGTATAAATATTACATTCCCTTGAATTTTGAGGCAACGCATATTATTAGTTGAAACGTTTGTTGGATTCAGTGAGAATAATAAATTACTTTGATGTATTTTGGATTGGAGAAAGTGGATTAAGGTGGGAATTTATTAGTAGATAATTATTCGAGTTTTTATGGAAAGATTCATACGAATTATAGGCTTAAAATGAAAGTGGATACTAGGTATTGCGAAGACAGCGTGTTACTTTGAGGATATTAATCTTTCAAAATATTATTTACCCATATTTTGTATAATTACAGTTTCATTTTGTATAGCTTATATAAAACATTTTGATAGATATTTAAATATTTTTTAAATTCTAATCGAAGATTTCTAGATTTGTTAATTTGTAATATTTAGAAAATGAACATACTTTTAATGTGAACATTTTATGACATTTTTTTTTTAAATCTGTTAATAAGTTGTTTCTTATGAGAAAATAATGTGTGAGAAAGAAACAACTAAATATTGCAGAAAAAATGTAATTTGGTAAGTGCAGTTGAAGTCTGAAACAGAATAAAGAATCATTCATTTTTAACACTGCCAAGCTGTTAAAGATAGTGCACATCGTTCATAAAGACCAAGAGGGCGATAAAATAGTTAAAGCGTTTCTTAAAACACGAATGACTTTACTTGTTTGATTACGCCGGTTCAACAGCGCAAAATACATTCCGTAATCGTTTTATGATTCTTAACTACATCAGTAAGTACAGCATAACCTCATGCAAGCAGCCGCTTTCTCGTAGTAAAAATCCGTTAAAATCTTTGTTCAAAATTCAACGACATCGAACTTCTTCATCCGCTTAATAACTAATTGTGGCGCGAAGTTTGAACCACCATTTGCATACGCTGAGTTCGATCTTACAGAAATTAAATTAAAATAAACGTACTTTGCACTTTCAGAGTGCTTCTTTAAGTTACACTATTACTTACACTAAAATTTAATACTATAGGTATTAAATATTGATTAGAGATAATTAGTACTTCCTCCCAACTTGAAAACAGTGAATAATATCCTTATTAACTCAGTCTAAAGTTTTCACCATGCAAATATATTGCAAGTATCACGAATATAATATTAATACATCGTTAATGTAATGATTTCTTATTAATATGTACTTTACGATTTATAATTCTTAACAAAGACATTTATTTAGTATAAAATCATCCTTACGATCTCGACATTATATTACAAAACAAGGTTAAAAAATAATGATTCATAAACACTGTTTCAACACTAGTACTCCACAAACTTGCTATATAACATTCCTCTTCATTAACCTGTTAACTGTGGAATTTATCAAAATAAAAAAATAAAGTGTGTATTCGTCGAATGCATAACGAATACACCCAGAGTACATGTTAATGAAAAACAAAAGCAAAACAAAGAAGAATTATATGTTTATCTGAAAAAATAAAGAATTCATCATTGATAGAATTAGTATCATTTCAAGCTTTAAGATGACGTGTATGCTCGTCAAACGCAGTTAACTAATTCAATAATTCTTTTTCTGACTGCCACATAATCTTCAATTTATCTTTACCATTATTCCCTAACTTCATAGTCCATAAACGTGTCGATCATTTCCAAAATTTCGCTGCTCTCCAAACTTCTTTCTCAACCAACATACTCCTCATTCAAAAACCCAACAGCCCCAAAGCGAAACCCAACAAAACGCGTACCCCCGAAATCGTATCAATACCATAACCATGAAAATCAACCGCCAACGGTGCTCCCGTAAAGCCGTATACGCGGTATTAAAATTCGACGAGCGCCGAGGAGCATCCGCGATACTTAGACAACTCGAGAAACCGTAGCGCGGGTGGCTGCTGGAAAACCAATTCCACTCGAGATTACGTTCCACGGGCGCGTAATTTAAATCCCATGCTAAGAACGTTACCGTAAAACAAGAAACGACGGGCAGCGTTGGTAGGGTGGAGAAA